TGCCGTGGCCCTGCGGGCGTCCCCGGCGGCCCGCGAGCTCCCCGTGCCGTGTTGCCCACGCGACGCCGGGCGTCCTGACCCTGTTTGCTTTGTTGCAGTAGTGCCGTCCAGCCCCACCATGGCAGCCTCTTCGGTCACCCTCCCTTCAAACTGTAGCAGTGCCCACGGCATTTTCTCACTCTCACCTGCCAATGTCATCTCTGCAGTGAAACAAAAGAGCGCCTTTGCGCCCGTGGTCCGGCCCCAAGCCTCTCCTCCTCCCTCCTGCACCAGCGCCAACGGGAATGGACTGCAAGGTGAGGGGCTGGGCGCGGCCTGAGGCCGGGGCCTGGGCGGGATCCTGCAGCCCTGGCGGGACGTCCCTGCCGCGGGGCCGGGGTGGGGGCCAGCGCTGGGTGTGTCCCCGGGGGGCGGGAGCTCCGGCCCTTCCTTCGGGCACATTCTCGGAGTCCCTGCCCCTCCCTGGCCATTGCATGCTCCCTGTGGTCCCCCGTGATGCGACCCCACCCCATATTCAGAGACGGCACCCAGATCCTTCCTCTTGGGTGATGAGAACCTTCCTCGGCTTCCCGACAAAGCCCGTGTCCTCGTGGTGCAGCTCAGGGAACGGAGCCACACGGGAAGAGCCGGGCGCAGGTCCCGCCATAGCCCCAGGACGGGCGTGGAGGGTCATCATGCCACCTGCAGAGCCCACCTCAAAGCAGCCTGTCCTGCTCGGCCTGGATTAACACACCAGGGGCCCAGCCGGCCGGGCTGTCCTTGGAGAGGGCAGTGGGCCCGGGCCCAGGCCCAGGGCCATCCCAGACGGGAGCTGGGTTTCTAAGTGCTCTCTTTCAAAGACTCGAGGAGGAGAAGGGCTGGCCTCGAGGGCAGTGGGAGGTGCCAAATGGACACAGCTGCCCACAGCTGGGGCCACGCCAAGCAGGCCCCCAGCGCCTGCCTAGGGCTGGGTCCCTCTGGGCAGTGGCTGGTGCTGCGTGTGGCAGGTGGGGCCACGTGAGCGCCCCCCCAGCTTGCACGTGGCTCTTTGGGATTTCCTGAGGCCCACAGGTCCTGAGATTAAGTGGCCATCATCTGGCCTCTTTCAGACACCTTTGGTATATGCTCCTCCCGGTGAAAATCCAATCCAGTAACTCCTTTAAACAAATGAATCCATTCCACCAGTATTTACTGAGCGCCTACTATGTGCCAGGCTCTCTGCTGGGTGCTGAGGACGTTACCGTGGAGAAGACAAACTGGCCCTTTTGTGAAGTCGGTGGCATATTTCACTTTGATGAACTAATGCTCAAAAAAGGAACTGGAAAGGTATCAGTGATTTGCAATAATTGTCTTCACAACACCTGTCAGTGTATGAAAGGGACGCCCAGGCCCCCAGGCGCGCCTCCTGGCATGCGAGCCAGCGGCGGTCGCCAGACCAGAACCTCTTACGAGGCAGGTGCGGCGGCCCGCCCACCGTCCCCACAGGGGTGAGGCCCGCTGAAAGACGGTGTCACGTGAGCCGTGTGTACACACACGGGGCTTCCAAACCATAAAGTTGTAACGGTGAGTCGGAGATAAATTAATATTGTTGGAATTAATGAGCTGAGAAATTGAAGCTCGCATCACTACATGAACAAATGTATTAATATGTTATACATACATTAATGAGAGCCATCATCCTGACAAAAATTAAACAACACTAAAGTTAAAAGATTTTCAATGACGTTCGTACCAGGAGTCCACCGGAAGGCGTCCGCTGCACTGGGCATATCAGCACCATTCTCTCTCTCGTTCTGAGAGGAGAGAAGTGAACTCCCCGAGGCCGAGCTGTGACCTGCGTCTCTTCAGGGCCCTTGGCCTTGAGAGGGCAGGTGGGCTGTGGAGTGGCTTTGATCTGGGAGGGCCCACGACTCACCATTACGATACCGAGCAATCAGCAGAGGGGAGACGGAGGCCTGCCCGGTTTTCACCTAGGGAGAGAGAGCAGGTTGGTTCACATCTTGTCGGCAGAGGTGGCCTGTGGGGAGCCTGGGCCTCCGTCCGCTATGCACGAGATATGCCGAAGGCCAGAGCCCCCCCTTTCCACAGGAGCCTTTGAGCGGGGCCGCAGGGGCCTGTCCCCACGTGCGCCCCATCCGTGAAGTAGGTCCCCCCCACGCCCTAACCAAGCCCAAGGCTGGTTAATGGAGAGTTATGCAGACCCAGGGACACCGAGGAGTAAAGCAGAGAGAAGGCCGGGCCCCGCCCGCCCCCCGGGCCCCCAGTAACCGGCTCCTCTCTCTCTTGCAGCTATGTCTGGGCTGGTAGTCCCACCGATGTGAGGGCCTTTGTTTACCTTCCGCAGCATCCGGCATCCAAGGACGGACTTCAGGGGACACGTTTAGTATATTGAGACACGCTGGTGGAGACAGTATCTTCAAATACGTCAGCAGCAGTCGAGATGCGACAAGAGACTTTGTTTAAAGATTTTATTTAAACTATTAAGAGCCGACATGCAAACAGCCTACTTCTTCATGAACAATTCCATTTTACTGACTGAACTTTTCTCATATTTTCACACTTCTCGGTCCTGGAGAAAAGGAAAACCAAGCGACGCCTATTTTGTATAGATTTCCGACTCCGTCTTGGCTCTGTCTCGTACTTGCTATGTGTTGGGAGAAACTTCGTGAATGCACCGTTTTGATTCTCATGAAACACTGATGAAAACTGCCTCCAAACATTTTCCTGTCCTCATCCTTAGATTCACAATGGTTGTGTATCTCTATAATGTGAAATATTTTTTTGTGGTGAACGAAGGGGGCCAAGGAGGTATGAGCCATCAACCTGGAAGAGAGGACGACCTATGATTAGAACTGGGGTGGCAGGGAGGGAGGGAGGGCTTTCCATTGCTTACCTTCATCTTAATGAAATGAAACTTTGTAACTTATTGTAGTTAGAAATTGTAACTTTGATATTGAATTCTCTTGCCTTCAACAAGCACACTGACAGAGGAAAATGCTACTGTCTGTTGGTTAAAATATTCTCCCACTGCTAGAAGCTTCTGTTAAGCGAGCGTGACCTGCGACATTTCCCCACTTTTGCTAGTACTGTATACGATTGCATTCTTAGGCTACTGTGAGGTCCATGTTTCTTGTACCAGAAATTGTCCTTTTGACTTCTAGACCCTTCTTCCCTAATGTGTTTTGTATGTGGTTATAAAATTGTAGACTTTTGTGATTTTGCCAAAGTTGTAGCTAAATATTTATACACTTGTCTTGAATTTTTTTCAGATCCACTTATAACTATTTAGGAAAAACACACCAAGTTTTATTCCTTATGTGTCTTAAAAGGGATGAATTGGTCTCATTTGACACTTTTCCATGAACACTTACAGTCGCTGAGGGACTTTATTTTGTAACATATCGATTATAAATATTGTATTTATCTTTGGAATTTTGTACATTGCTCCCCCCCCCCCC